AGAGACTTGATTGCAATGACTCTGTGGGGAACAATGAATGTACACAAAACAACTGGGTTCTTTATAAAGCAGTAATTTCTCCTCTATAGACTCCCCCTTTCATATAGAAATGGCTGTAGTTTCCAATCATGGCAAGGGCTGGACTGTCTTTCTTCCACCAAATGCTCTGCTAGCTGACAGAGACCATGGAGCTGTGAAGATAGAAATGGAAGGGAAGGCTGGTAAAGGAGTGACGTAAGGCAACGGGGTCTTCGTTTATAACATAAGAATTAACAGCCTATACTGTCCCACAGAGAAAAGCAAATACCCACAATAGGGCCAATAAGCTTTCACTCCCACTATACAATATTTTTTAGAAGTCAAAGGTTTTCAGACAGAAAAATGTCAAAGACTTCAAAATGCCATTACGAGGCTCCTTCCAGCAGAACTTCTCCAACAAAGAAATATGTTGGAGAAGCAGAGATGTCCAGGTAAACACCTGCCCCACTGTCATTTATAGAGAGGTTCATGCTTACCTCTATTATCAAGGCTAAAATATATATATATAATTATTATGACAGACTAAAAATCCTAAGGGTTTAAGGGAGTCATATCAAAACAAATCTGTAAAATGGGGATCAGGAACCAGGCAGGCAGATGTAGGCCTTTAGGCTTAGACTAGAACTGGGCATACACGTCAGAGGTATAGCATTTGCCTCGCATGTGTGAGGCCCTGGGTTCAATCCTCAGCACAGCCAAAAAAGAAAAATAAAAAAGTACAATTACAGGCTATATATTTAATGTTAAACCTGTAAATTTAAACTATGAAAGAAATATATAAATGAAGAGATTATGCTTCCTGGAGTGAAAGGATACCAAGAGTACTAATTTTTACATTAAGGGTCAAATGAAATGCCAGTGGTCGTGACAGTTGTAGGAGCTAAGGTGAGGTCTGTTCAGAAATTGGTTAGGAATTCCATGGGAACTGGCCCCCTCTATAAAGGCCAGGGATTTAGTGATCACAGACTGCATCTTAGCTCCCAAGAATATATACTTCCAGCTCCCATACTTCCCCTTCAGCAGTAGCTACAGAACACTTGCTGAGCAGCTGTGAAACATTAGAATGCTAAGAACAATACAGGGCAGCACAGGTACACACAAGTGATGTTAGGGCGTGACGTGGATGTGCACATGCAAGTTACAAGCCAATTCCAGCAGAGTCTGCACATGACAAGCCACCACACTGCTCACTTCAGCTGGGACAATGTGAGAATCAGTGGGTGGTACGGCCTAAACACATGTGATCTGAGATATTCTATCATGGAAGCAAATGCCCTTAATTAGAAACAAATTTTAAGTGTTTTCAATGACCTCTTTCTTTTTAAGATATCTTCCATGGATGCTTGTTTGGTGTTATATGATAAACACAGTATGAATTGTGTAAGCCATCCTAAAAATAATGGCTTTAACTTTTTTAGAATGAGAAATAAATGCATATGGGTCATTCTCTGCCACTGTTCACGAAGCCCATATCATGTATTGCACATCAACAATGTCTTTCATTAACAAAGTTTGTGTGTGGCCTACAGAATCATGATATCGACCAGGCCTCAGAACTCAACTTTTTAGGAAGAAGATCTGATGACCCCACTCCCCCTCATGCTGGGAATCTAACCCAAGGCCTTGCAAATGTAGACAGGCACTCTACCTCTGAGCTATACCCCCAACCTCAGATCTGGTGTTTTAATTTCAATGAAAGTCTTCATTATTTTTGGTACCAGGAATTGAACTCAGGGGCACCTGACCACTGAGCCACATCCCCAGCCCTATTTTGTTGCCCAGCACCTCGCCGTTGCTGAGGCTGGCTTTGAACTTGGGATCCTCCTTGTCTCAGTCTCCCAAGCCACTGGGATTACAGGCATGGGCCACCGCACGCAGCTGAAAGTCTTCATTTGGATGCCTTTCTCTTAATTGTTCAAAATGGGAAAAGCCAAGGTTGAGAAAGTTTTTCATTATCCTTTTATTTATTAATTTATGTATTCAGTAAAACACAGACTGCTTTCAGGTTTGTTCAAATTTCTGTGACAGAAAAATCAGGCCCACAAGTCACAACTAAAATTCAGAGATTTTTGAACTGAGGTTCAAAGATTGTACCAAATAAATGGAGTATTGGCACTTATTTCTGACTTTCCCACTATGGGAAGGCCAGTTGACCAACCAGTCTCAGAATAACATGGTTTAAAGGGACCCTGAAACACTATTATATATGGTGGAGCCAGGTCTAGGAAGGGGACACTGGTGTAAGAATGTCACTGCCTTAATTTCCCATGAATCTTAACATCAGTTATTCTTACTCCAAAATTTAAAAAATAAATAAATAGAAAACATCAGCTGGCTGTGGTGACAGGAGTTTGTAGTTCCAGCTACTCAGGAGGCTAAGAAGGGAGGTCCCCCTGGATGCACAAGTTGGAGACCAGCCTGGGCAACACAGCAAGACCTCATCTCGAAAAATTGATAAATAAAACAAAAATATCTCTGAAAATGTAACAGGAATGAAGATCTTTAATCAGTTAAATAATATCCCACTTTGTTTTAGTTACTGAGTTCTTGGTAACAAGTGCTAATTTGTTTTCCTATCTAGACTCATCATTCATTTGCCCACCTATCAGCCCAGCTCTTAACAATCTCCTTGAATATCAATCTGTTCAAAATGAGAATACGAACCAGTTAACCCCATGTCACAGTTAAGGTGCTTTTCAGGATGCTCTTACCTTCTCTCAGTTGTGCTTGGAGGACCTCATCAGAGGGTGTTCTGCAAGTTCTGTGGCTGTGGCTGAGCCAAGAATAACCTTTGAGTTCTTATGAGATGACTGTCAAAGTCAAATTAAGTGTCAAGCACTTATTCAGTCAAGATGGAAACACTAAGTTGCTGCAGGAGCTTTGAGGTATTAGTTGGTTTCCATTCTTGTCCATGGTAGGTGCAGGAGGTAGCTGGGCCATTAGTGAGTAACTTTGAAATGGTCAGCTGCTATTATTATTATTATTATTATATTATTATTAGGTATCAGGGATTGAACCCAGAGGCATTTTACTACTGAGCCATATCCCCAGCAGTTTTTAAAATATCTTATTTAGAGATAGGGTCTCAGCTGAGTTGCTTAGTGCCTCACTACACTGCTGTGACTGGCTTTGAATTCACAATCCTCCTGCCTCAGTCTCCTGAACTGCCAGGATTACAGGTGCACGCCATTGAGCCCGGCAAACAGTCAACTCCTTAAGGGGAGCAGCTTACCAGACAAGTGAAAAATCAGACAAGAAACCATCACCAGCAGTTGTCTGATGTTCTGCCAAATGCAATGACAGGCAAGAAACATTCTGATGCCAATGGTTTCCCGTAATGTGCCATGTTCTGATCGGTGTCAATTCTAAAATTTTGAAAGGTTTTGTGATAAAATTGTGATTTTGTGATTAAATTGCTAGATTTGGAAGATAGGCCTAAGGGAAAAAAAAAAAATCACAGGAGCTGGGCATAGTGGCACATGCCTATAATCCCAATGACTCAGGAGACCCTAAGCAACTTAGCAAGACTCTACCTCAAAATAAAAAATCAAAAAGGGCTGAGGATATGGTTCAGTTGTTAAGCAACCCTGGGTTCAATTCCTGGTACCAAAAAAAAAAAAAAAAAAAAAAAAAGGTGGGTGGGGAGAAAGAAACATTCTGTGTTTAAAAGAAAAAATAATTTTAAATGTGAAGGTGCAGAGTGTATGAAGCCTTGGACTGTCTGGACACACAGAGATTTCCTATTATGTAGAGCTAGAGCCTGTATCTTAGAATCTATGGAAGAGATTCAATATCTCATACAATAACCTATTTAGGAACACCATGAAAACTCAGGGTTTGTCTTTACCATTTATCTTTAAAATAACATAGATAGGAAGCAACAAAAGCTATGACTTAGTTCTTCTTCCAAAGACGGACATTATGGAAGCAAGACAGACAAAGGCAGACGCAAAAGCAAACTAGAGTGATCCTGTAGTCCTTTCATCAGGAACACTGGGAAATCTCCTGCCTTCCTGTAAAATCACGTCTGTGGCTAGAGGAAAGACGGGTGACTGGGAAATAATGATTCTGGTTTTTTCAAGACTGAAGTGTAAAACTGGACACATTATTCCTTCTCTAGAGGCCACTTTATAAAAAAGTCATAAACAAAGGAGCAGGGATTTATTGGAGCAGGTTTTATGATAGAATTTTATGATTCTATGATAGAAATTTATGATAGAACTGAATTCTGAGAAGAAGTGCACTATTTCCAATGTCATGACACTCATGATCAAAGAACATCAGACCTCAAGGTGGAGAAACAAGCCAACAAACAACCCTTCTGATCCTGGAAAAACAAGATTAGGGTAAACTGTACACATCAAAATTCAGAACCCACTAAATCTGATTTTATAAGACTATATTTTACATTTGAAAGATATCTAAAAACTCAAAAATAATTTCCTAATATTCAAAGTTAAGGACAGTGACTCCTGATTGGGGAAAGATAACATCTTATTAGTCAAAGTCTAAAATATTGCTTATAATTTTATCTATGTCCCCCTCCCTTTAAATTTTAAATAATAATGAGTTTTAAGCTCACCTTAGGAATACCTTCCTCTTAAACACCTGTTCAATAGGGCCTTTGTGCTAACACATCAGAAGGGGAAGTCATGAATCTGCAAGATCTTTTGTTTTCCACGCTAACTTATCCTTTTTAATAGAGTGGGTATTGTCAGGCCTTATTTGAAATAGCCCATGAGAGCAGTGATTTGAACCTAGATTTGGAAGGTTCCAAGTAGGGAAGTAGCATGGTTAATGGTAGACTGATCAAAGAAAAGACATCATAGAACCTGGCACAGAGAGACACAAAAGCTTTTGTCTCTATAACACAGCCTCATGCACAGTGATTAAGTGAGAAGCCAAAGCACTGTTCAGGTGCTCATCAGACTCATGGAGGTGGGGCTCCGCCCATGACCCACCTGCTATGGCCCTGCATGTCCCCCAGCTCCTTTTGTAGCCTGGCGTTCTTCTCTTCCTCTTCCAGCAGCCTCCTCTTAACAGAGCGCAGTTCCTGCTGGGCCTCGCACTTGATGTCATTGGCCACAACCACTGCAGTCTGCAGGTCTGCCTGGAACCGCCTCCATTCCTCTGTCTCCTCCTGAAAATGCCAGAGCCCACACCTGTGAGAAACGCCTGCTAGGGCAAACATGCAGGCAGGGGCCCAGAATCACCGTATCAATCACCAAGGAAGAACACAGGGAGGCCCTGCATTCATATTGTCTCCCTACTAAGAAGAGGCACAGATGGGAATTCCTTCCTCAAGTCACAGAATTCTCCATCCTAAAACTGAACAATTGATTTCATTTTACTTCCTGCCAACAGGAAGGCTCAAGTTGTTGAAATGTTCAGTGAGAAAGCAGACTTAGAAAGGGCAACTGGTATTTTCCTAATGTTTCCAAACCCTGAGAACCATTTATAGTGAGACAATGGAGAAGGTCCCTGTTCACAGCTGTAACCCCACTCACCTTTATCTGCTTTGTCAGGGTCTTCAGCTGCCTTTCCAAGTCTGACTTCTGTTCCTCCAATTTGATCACATTGCCTAGAAGCAAGTGATTGAGACAGGAGTTGAAAACGTTGTGAGACTTCTGAGAGAAAGTAAGCTGGGAAGCAGAGGGACAGCTCCACAGGTCACAATAAGGCAAATCCATCCCTTCCACTATAAATTCAGTTTTTAGCACCCTGCAGATGGGGAGCTAGCAGCGGAAGGTTCTTCCAAGACAGGGATTGGGATAATTTGGGAAATAAGTAGTGTTTTTGGGGGTTTTTTTTAGGATATACAACCAGAAGTACCACCATGTGGCACTATAAGAGAAGACCTCAATAGCTGTTCACACTTACACACTTGTGTTGGGCGCTTCCCTGCTATTTGCACACAATTGTCCTGAATAGTCTTTATCACTGAAAGGTAGAGGGCTTTTGTATAATAGAGGATGTAACTGGTTATTACTCCTGTGAATCTGAAATGTATTTCTAGAGTAGCAGTTCTTAATCATAGTTAAACCTCAGAATCACATGCGGCACTTTTCAAAAGCACAGATTTGTAAGACACCAGCTCTAGACCTATGGGCTCCAGAATCTCTGAACACAGACAGAATCTGGGCCCAGGGATATTCTAACAGCTTGATCACCTCTCCCAAATTAAGAACAACTTTCCTCACTGGTTCTCCAAGTCTCCAATTTGCTCCATGAGGCTATCAGAGCCATTTAAGTGTTCTCATCATGTCAGTCACCCAGGTAAAGTTCCTGAATGGTTTCTTTCTTCTAGAGCAGCACATGTCTATTAAAGATATGAATCAGAATCACTAGAGAAGGTTAAAGAACAAATCTTTATGGTCACATCCTATTCCAGCAGTGGAGCCTAAGAATCCGTGTTCGGGATCAATGCCTGAGTAAGAAAATCCTTCTTCACTTTTTTTTCTTGCCTGTTTCTCTCAAGACTCTTATCGGAAGGAGTGATTAGGGCTGGAATTGAGTGTGCCTGGTTCTCCTAACAAAAATATATCTTAATAATACCTTAATATTCCTAACAGAAGTTTAAAAGCCCTTAAAAGATGCTCTGTGTTATTTTTCAGTCTTGGATAGATTATGATATAACCACTGGGGATGGGCCTGAAATTTGCTGTGGACACTAATTATACACTGGTTTTTTTGGTTGTGTCTGGACTGACTCTTAAGAATTTAAAGACAATACAACCATTTTCTCAATAGCAATATGCCACAAAAACAAAACCCAAACAAAACAGAACTCATCTCCTTTGACTTTACTTTTTTCAAGGGCAGTGCTCTTTAGAAATAGTCTTTAATTGTATCCTAGTACCACTGTTGAGCCTGGGTGATACTGAGAGCCAAGACTCTACAGTTCATCATGTCTAAGGAGGAATGGAACAGGTACTATCACACAGGCGTAGACGTCAATTCTCATTATTTGTGGTAGCTACATAAAGTTGCCAAGCTCACTCAACTAGCAAGGACTGAATCTCTGCTCATAGGGGAAAAACAGAGTTAGGTTCCTATAAGCCTCTGGTCACAACATCTTTCATTAACTAAAACACTGTTTGCATTACATAGGTTTGTCTGCCAAATGAATATATTAAACGTGTTAGAAACATGCTCTTCCCTCTCTTTGTGACACGGGAAAGATATTTTTAAAATCTTCTGTAGCATGAAGAACCTTTCTGGCTCACAAGTTTAACTTCTCTCACACCTTCTGGGTGTGCAATGAGGACTGATCATTTTCCTGATCCTGAGCCATATAAAGTAAATTTCTTTGGTTTTTGACATTGCAATAATGCTGCCTGCTATACTTCCTTTTGGCCTCCATCTCACAAATCCATAAATTTATTCCTTTTCTATCTTCTCCATAGCGTCATCTTGCACTATATGTGTTACTTTAGCACTTTCCAGAGCAGTCTTATGAACAGATTGAAGAAGTTCTTCTTTCTTTCTCTAAGTGCACTGGGTTGTTGACTCATTAACATTGAACTCATGCCAGTGGCTCAAAACTCAGTCCTGAAACAAGTTTATCTGACACACATGACTCTCCATCAAGGTGCACCACAGCTTTCTTTTCTTTTTGGTCCTGGGGATTGAACTCAGAGCACTCAACCACTGAGCCACATCCCCACCCCTATTTTGTACTTTATTTAGAGACAGGGTCTCACTGAGTTGCTTAGCTCCCCACTTTTGCTGAAGCTGGCTTTGAACTTGAGATCTTCCTGCCTCAGCCTCCCGAGCTGCTGGGATTACAGGCGTGTGCCACGTGCCCGACCCTATCACAGCTTTCTTATACTTAGGGTCAGCAGAAGGCACTTCAGTATTGCACTGTGGTAGAGGGGTACATTTTAAACAGCAAAATCACCAAAAACAAGCACAAAAATACTAAAAACATGGCATTAGTAGACTGTAAAAAGGACACTGGTATACAGTATCAGAACTGAGATAAGAAGACAGAGTTTTTGATCTCAGTTGGAAATGTAAGTGGTAGGATGACTCTAATTTTTCACCTCTCTGTGAATTTCCAAAAATAACCACGAAAGCATCATGAGTACTGATTTGGGGTTACAAATAAGTTTTAGTTAGTAGGTGAATTCATGAACACAGAATCTGTGAATAATGAGGATTAATCGTACATATTGGGGAACTTCTCAGGTAACTAAGCTATTTTTAGTAATGTGTTAGTATTAAAAGCTCTGTATATAATTCTTTTGTTATAAAAGCAAGACACATTAGATGTGATAATTTTATAAAACTTATTTGAACAAAGCAGGCAATGTTTAATCTTTTAAAAATATTTCCCTAGTCAAAGCAAACAATGAGCTTATAAATAAATCATATATTGATGTCTCTATAGTAAGAAGTGGCCAACATCTGTTATCTGATATCCTACTGTCAACGGGACACATGTTGGAATTGTTTTCTCCCTCAGACCAAAGGCACACATTGTTCACGCCACTCTGAACCTCTATCCATCAGATCCAAAAGACAGCACATTGTCTGTACTTGATGAGTGTAGTAAACAGTTCATTTTGAATGACCCTCTCCTACACCGGGACTATCTGTAGAAAAAGTCCATGTGAACACAGTCACAGCTAAACTCAAAACAGACTAAGTGGTAGAATATGTCACATGTATCTGTCTCAAGACAGAGGCAGCAGCCTCACGACACATATTGGTACCTAACATTTGAAATACACATGCTCCTTCTCGTAGTTGTTTTGTCTACTGACTCATGGTTAATAATCTCTTCTGTCATTTACTTTCTGACTTAATTTAAGAGATTAATTTTTTAAAAATTTTTTTAATATTTATTTTTTAGTTTTCGGCGGACACAACATCTTTGTTTGTATGTGGTGCTGAGGATCGAACCCGGGCCGCACGCATGCCAGGCGAGCACGCTACCGCTTGAGCCACATCCCCAGCCCCAAGAGATTAATGATTATTTCTTAAGTGCCATTATTCTTTAGAGATTACAGAGTAGTCAAAAGACTCTTCTTAGATCCCAGACACACACATTCTTAAAAACTGTTTCACAGTCACCTGCGAATACCAGTTTCTTTAGCATCCTACTCAGGCCTGTTCCACGTTTCACCTGGACGTGACTTCACTTACTTTCCAGCTCACTAATGAGTTGATTATTGTGTAACTTGACAGCCCGGTGCTGTTCCACCTGATCTTCCAATTCGAATATGGTTTCTTTCATGTCTTTTATCTCTGCATCACTCTCTGATGCTTTCTCTTGCAGTTTTAGGCTGGTTCTGCTCAGCTGTTCTGCTTGATGATCACAGATCTCCTTCAGGTAAGAATAATCTTTTTCCATCTAGAACAGAGAAGATTCCCCAGTTAGTGTAATGGCAAAGAAGTTCACCAAAAAGTAGCAGAAAGGCTGGCTCGTGCAACAGCAAAGGATGCTCTCGGCATGTAATGTTTCTTGCGTTCTTAGTCGGAGAAACAGACAAGGCTGGGAATGTTCAGGAAAATGTGTGGATCCAAATGGCTGCATTTTGTGCCCCTTTTCACAAACAGAAAGAAAGCTACATGTACTTAAAATAACTTTCTTTCCCATACAAGGGTAGAACACTGCTTTTGTGAGAGGCGCTGGTGCTACACTGGTAAGGAGGGATGGGAATGCCCCATCTTCTATCTGCTATGGAGCAGCGCCCTCTGCTGGTGAGACACAAACAATGCTCCTGAAACCTGACCAATCTGAACATAGAAATGTGCATGCCACAGAAACAGAGGAGTAGCACATAAAATTTCATCTGTTTTTAATTATTACAAGTAGTAATAATTAACACAGAAAAGCACTCCAAATAATGAAATAACCATTCACCCAGACACACTTAACAATAGTTGAGTTTTGCCACATTTGCTAAATCTTTTACTTTATTAATATTTGTTAACACATCAACCTTCTCTCCCACCTCCAAGAGTGATAAGCATTATCCCCAAATTGATGTGTGGTCATACTTTGAAGGGTTTTCCACTTTTATAATAAATATATGTCCCCATGATAATGCATAGTATTGTCCTGGATATTTAAAAACTTTTACACAAATGATATATTATGTTTTTTTCATGTACAATATTATACTGAGGTATATAATAAGTAATATGCTTTTGTCCTGTACTATACAATTCTTGTGTTCTATAACTTGTTTTTTTTTCTTTTTCTTTTGTTTTGTTTTTGGCGCTGGAGATTGAACTCAAGGCCTTCTCCAAGGCCTTGCAAGGCTTGTAACTTGTTTTTAACTGTGTTTTGGAGAGGAATCCATATTGCTACACATCTCATTAGGACATTACTTTAATTACTGCATATTATTATTCCCCATCTAAAAATACTAATTAATTCATTATTTTGAACAACACGGCAATAAACACCATTGACCCTTTTCTATAGTCCTTTAATGGATATTATTACATAACTGTATATTTAGGAGAGTAATCTAAACTTGATACCCATAGATTTCTTCCCAGGTAGTTTTTTGGGGGGAGGGGTTTCAGGGACTTCATCTGCAATTTTTTTCCAACTGCATTTCATGTGCAAAACCTTCTGGCTGTGAACTCTATGGGGACAAGGACTTCATCTGCTGTATTCACCACTGTATCCCCTGTGCCTGAAGGTCAGACACAGAGGAAGCAATAGGGGGATAGAGCTCAGTTGGTAGAGTGCTTGCCTTGCATGCACAAGGCCCTGGGTTCAATCCCCAGCACACCCCCCCCCCCCCGAAAAAAAAAGTAGTTGATGAATGAATGAACAAACAGTGAAGGGCAATCCTGCAGTGTTTTTCACTTGGGAAGCTGTGGATGAATGGATGGAAGAATAGAAGGAAGGAGGAAGTGGGTAGGTAACAAGAAGTAAGAAAACTAATAAGAGAACCAACACAACCAAAGTATACTACCTGTGCTAAAGGTCAGCATTGCTCTGTGAAACTTGTATTTCAATTGTAAAAATGTGTGGCTCTGGACTGTGACGTAGAATATATCACTGCAGTTTGTGGACAAAATATTTGAAAGCTGTTGTTCATTAAAATGGTTCCAGCTCCAGACTCTGGGAGCTGGACTACTAGGTTTTAAATCCACCATATCAAACCTTTTATCTTTTTAATCCCTCTGCCTGAACAATGGAATGGTTCAAGAAGTAATGTACTCAGAAAGTTTATCACAGTGCCTGGTACATAGTAAGCACTTAATAAGAGCCACTCTTTATCTTATAATGAGCTTAGGTATACAATATGAATAATAATATAGGTCCATTCAACCAAGAAAATCTCAATTTGTTGAAAAAGCCAGAAGTCTCATGATCTTAATAGCTATTTTGTGAAACAGAAGACAATTTCAAGGAGAAGCAGCCACAACATTTTAAATACATAATGCTGAAGTCTGAAGGGATCTGGAGAGCAGTAAGGGAAGGCAGCTCTGGGTCTTGCATGCTGAGGCAGCCCATGGTCTTCTGCAGGGCAGGCTGCCTTTGTTGGGAAGACTCAGGCAGAGGAATGTTATCTGAGTTCTAGAAATATGCATGTAATTATCTGGTATGTCTGTGAGTCAGTTGAGCAACGGAACCCAAAGACTGAGCACACCAAGGAAGGTCTGAGTGCAACCAAGGCTGCTGGACCCTTTATAGACTCCCATGTTCTTCTACTTCTCATGTGTTGGCTCATCATAATCATGGGCATCAAAGAGTGGTGACATAGCATAGCGATGGGTACAGTGTGGACTGCCAGGTCAGTAAATCTATATAAATCAGCTACTGTTTCAAATGCACTGATCAATTCTTGATTTTGGAGTAATTCTCTCAATTTAACAGTATTCCAGAAAGGTATTGGGGAAAAAAAAGGAAGAAAGAAAGAACAGGAGGCTGAGGCAGGAGGATCACAAATTCAAGGCCAGCCTTAGCAACTTACTAACTTACAGAGGCCCTAAGCAACTTAGTAAGATCCAGTCTCAAAGTTAAAAAAAAAAAAGTGTTCCTGGGTACAATCCTCAGTACCTACTACTACTAATAATAATAATAAATTATAATTATACAAATATAATAATAATAATTATTATTATTATAAAAATGTTTTAAAGAAAAGTAAAAACCAAGAGCCCTTAAGTAGCCTCAACGCTTTTTACAGGGACTCGATAAATAACAGGATGGTGTTTTAATATTCATTTCAAAGATTAACAAAGAGAGGGAGAAATTAAATCACTTGAAAAGAATAATCCTGTGTATCAAGTAGCTGAGAACAAACCTTTTATTTTCATGACTGTTAAGAGTTCTAGGCTGCCTTTTGTGTTGGCTTTTCTGCTGGCCAGCAACACAAACTCCTTTGAATTTTAGCTTCTCTGGATCAGGAATTACACTATCAGACACCCAGCAACATGATTTTTCCCTTGAAAAGAGAAATCTCTTCCATGGATTCCAAACATCTTTCATCTTTGAAAATCAACTTCTTGTGGCTGGGGTTGTGGCTCAGTGGTAGAGCCCTTGCCTAATATGTGTGAGGCACTGGGTTTGATCCTCAGTACCATATAAAAAATAAAATAAAATAGGAAAAACAAAAGAATATTCCATTATTTAAAAAAATCAACTTCTTCAGAAATGGGTCCTATAAGATTATATTACAAGTAGATTCAAAGGAATTTCCCAGGAACACCAGGACTTCCTGGGGAGAGGGCAGTGAAACCATTCCTGATGGCCTAAAATTGCCAGAGGCACACGGCAGCACAGGTAGCTCCACAGCCCAAGGGCAGTGCTGGGAGCACACAGCCAGGGCAGCTCTGAGACCAGACCCACTGAATCTTGGCAAATGTGACTATCTCCCAGGACTCAGCCAGATACTGAATTTGGGGAAAAGATTCTATCACAGGTCAGGTTCCCTGGAAACACGTAGAGATGAAGAGGTGGACACGGGAAGTTTATTGAGAACTGCCTGGGAGTGGGAGAGGGGTGTCCAAGCTGTGGAAGAAGGAAGCAGAACCATGAAGTTGTCACACAAAGACTTCAGTTAATCCCCTGGGGAGCTCCACACGGAGGATGCCCCTCAGTACTGTTCCAGATGGGAGCAAAGCCTGGACCTTGGTCCTCTTGGGGGGTTAGCTACAGTATGGGCTACCCTGTGGAAGGCAGCTCTCCTCAGCAGAGTTAAGCCCTGGCAGGAGGGCATGCTACAGTCCTGGAGAGCTCCTGGGGAGTGGTGCCCCCAACTCTGCAGATATTAGAGAACACTGTGGTGCCACATACACACATCTAGATTATCTTCTTGGGGAAATGAGTAACTGGTCAAAATAGTTTTACCATTAGATCAATCGACTACAGTGAATAAAGACCTCCATAAGGCACATCTGTTTATCTTTGTTGGGTAAGATGAAGTATAAAGGAAGTCAAACTAAGAACCAAGGTCCCATCTTACACAAACTAGTCCCAAGAATAGAAAATTTCAAATAAAGAGAATACACTAAGGAAACAGGTTTACAGCTAACCTAGCAATGTTTCAGTATATAAGGAACTAGGAATTCAGTACATCAAAATCAAAGCATCCTGCAAGACGAAAATATGGTTTAAATATTTTAGTGTTGTGGTTCTTCTTTTTTTTTTTTAATATCTTTACTTCATTTATTTATTTTTATTGGTGCTGAGGATGGAACCCAGCGCCTTGCACGTGCTAGGCTCTACCGCTGAGCCACAACCCCAGCCCTACTATGGTTATTCTTAATAGGTTCTCAAGCAAAGAACTTTTTTGAAAATCAGACCCTGCCTTTCATACATCATTTCATCATTCAGTCATGTATGAATAACATAGAGACATAGGCAGATGTAGTTATATCATTGTAATAAATTCTAAATAAATTCCAATATCATTAAAGTTGTATAGATAGTTCTGTTAGAAACCAGCAAAGGTGGATAAGTTATGTTGCCAATAGCAAGGTACATGGCTTGTAAAATAAACCCTCTGTACTGCTTCTTATGTAAGGATGTTGCGTTTTGTTTGTCTGTGGTACCAGGGATGGAACCCAGGGCCACACATAAGCTAGGCAAGTGCTCTACCACACCATAGCCCATGTTTGTCTTTTACTTGGCTTTTGACTGAATCTGCTGATTATACTGTCTATTTGATAAAAAGATCCTCAATACTAAAAAAAAAAAAAAAAAAAGTAAATCATCTAGGAAGGAAGAAAATAAAGACATTAAGACCCAACCCCGGGCTGGGGATGTGGCTCAGGTAGCGTGCTCACCTGGCATGCGTGGGGCGCTGGGTTCGATCCTCAGCACCAAATAAAAATAAAAAAATAAGGATGTTGTGTCTGCCAAAAACTAAAAAATTAATATTA